ATCACCAATACAGAACTGGTGAACTTGATTTTTAATTTCCAGCCAGCTTATGCCTGGCTCCTTCTTGACCTTTCTATCTCTCATGGCTTTTCTCACCTCAGAAACATCCTGCCACCTTCTAGCTGAAGCATGAATGTTTGAAAGTAGCACGTAAGAAGCTGAGTCCTGTGGATCTTGCCTAATCACTTCTTCAGAGATCCTTTTTGCTATATTTGCGTTCTTGTGGATTTTACATGCAGATAACAAAGTTTTCCATATGATAGCATCTGCTTTAACAGGCATTGATCTTATCATTAACTCAGCTTCGTCTAAACGGCCAGACCGGCCAAGCAGGTCAACCACACATGTATAGTGTTCTAGTCTAGGCTTCAACCCATACTTTTCTACCATTGAGTTGAAGAACTCAATCCCTTTTTCCTTCAATCCACAATGACTGCAGGCATAAAGCAAACTTAAGAAAGTAACATCGTTTGCCTCCAATTCTTCCTGCTCCATCTCCTCAAACAGCTGAATGGCTTCCTCTCCTCGTCCATGAAACCCATAAGCAGAAATCATAGAACTCCATAGTACAACATCTCGACCTACACTTTCCTTGAAAGCTTTTAGAGAATCTTCAAGACACCCACATCTTGAATACATGCTAATTAAGGAACTAATGACCGCATCAACTGTGCTAGCCCCAGCTTTAATTGCTTCAGCATGAATCTGCTGACCCTGTCCGAGTGTTGCCAATTCCGAACACGAACTAATAACACTCACAAATGTGACCTTGTCAGGTCGAAAACCTGCGATTTTCATTATATTATACTGATCCAACACTGCCTCAGAATGCCCATTTTGAGCTTTTCCCGCAATAAGAGTATTCCAAGCAATCACATTTCGAATTGGCAGTGATTTAATTACTCTTTCCCCTTCTTCCAAGCTACCAGACTTCATATACATATGAGCCAAAGAGCTGCCAACAACCAAATTGAACTCAAACCTGCATTTCATCACATAAGCGTGAACCTGTCGCCCGGCATGTAATGCTCTCAAACCTGCACATCCCCTAAGAACACTACCCAAAGTGAACTCATCAGGCAAAAACCCCAACTCGTGCATTTCCGAAAACAAACCCAATCCCTCCTCATTAAATTGAAACTGGGTCAAACCCGTGACCATGGCATTCCACGTAGCCACATTTCTCTCAGGCATTTCGTTAAACACCTTCTGGGCACTTTCCAAATCACCCTTTTGCACATACCCATTGATCAAAATGTTGCAAGACATAATATTTCTCCTTGGCAGATGATCAAACAGAGTTAACGCTGCTCCCAAGTCTCCAACTTTGGAGTAAAAGTTGAGGAGGTGATTGGATACGAACTTGTCCGCGGAACACCCAGATGTGATAATCAAAGAATGGAGCTGCTTTCCTAATGAAAGTGACTTTCTGGGTATGCATGCTTGGAGGAGGTGTGAGAAGAGAGATGGGTTTGACCATATCTCAGATTTAAAGCTCTCAAAGGCTTCTTTGATATGTCCTTTGGAGCAGAGGCTGCTTAACTGTTCTGCGGCGGAGTCTCCAAGCTTAGATACAACTCTGGAGGTGTTTGTGGACAGAAAGCGTGGCGTGGGAATGCGTATAATGTTGAAGACGGAATTGCAAGACTTGTCCCCATACATCTGGCTGGCTAGTTGTATTCAAAACATGCAAGGACTGGAACTTTATCAAGGTGGTGCTGTGGCGGGAAGTTCCTTTTTATTTTTCACTCGATCTTAAGATGTTACAGGGTTTTGTGTACAATAAAATTTATGAATGGAGCTCCCTTTTTTATTTTATTAAAAAAAACAGAAGTATTAAAGAATTTATGCAATATGTCAATCCTTTTGGATTTTATTTTTCAAATGAAGTATAATATATAGATACTCTAAACTTTTTTCATACTAAAAAAAGG